TATTCACGTCTATGTGCAGCACTTTTTTTTTTTGCGATGAGGCATTAGTTTTTAAACTAAAAAATCTGAATTACTTTGAATAAAGCTGGACATTATGTCCCTTAAAATAATTAAACAAATTAGGTACCAATGTTTTTGTAAGATATTTACATCTATTGAGGACATTTTGTAGACTGATTCCCCACTGTTTGTTCAAAATTCAAAATTAATTATGACAATGCATGTTTATATTGAAACAAACTATGATAAAGGGAATAATATATAACAAATTGCAAGGTCACCAGAGTTCAACTATGTTTTTAATTAATTAATGCTGCTCCAGAGCAATGTCTCTCAATATGGATAAGTACTTGTTTGAAGACCAGATACAAATGTCAATCATTTTAATGTTAAATAATCATAATAATCATAAACCTGACATGTTTATATTCCAACTACATGACTATAAACAAAACTATATATCTTAAATTCGCTAACTAATGAGGACTGTGCCATACATGACTTGTTTTATATGTATTTGAATGTTTGGAACAAATCTGTGCTAAGTGATTGCACTTTCAAGAATTTTTAGTAATAACGAAAATGTTCCTTTTTTTCAGAATGATGTCAGAAAAATACACAACCAACTGAAAAACATTGAAAAAGACAAACAACAATTGGAAGAGAGAATCAATGAAATGAGAAATACGTAAGCTTATTTTTACCATCTTACACATTGATTCATATTATTATTTCAAGGTTGTTATAATTTTGCATATATTATATTTTACTGTTTCACACCAAAGTCAAAGCAAGTATTCACTCTAGTTCAACTAACACTGTCATGAGTGCATGGCTTCCAATACCAATGCAATATTAAACACGTCAATATAGTGGTTCAACCAAGCTAAAAAGGCTACCTTCTCATAATTTGTTTTGAGGGCACCTGAATGCTGCCGGAAATGTACAACATACTGACTGGTTTTAGCATTCACCTTGGCATGTTGATCACTACTGACTGGTTTTAGCATTCACCTTGGCATGTTGATCACTACTGATTGGCATTAGCATTCACCTTGGCAAGTTGATCACTACTGACTGGTTTTAGCATTCACCTTGGCATGTTGATCACTACTGACTTGTTGTAACATTCACCTTGGCAAGTTGATCACTACTGACTTGTTGTAACATTCACCTTGGCAAGTTGATCACTACTGACTGGTTTTAACATTCACCTTGGCATGTTGATCACTACTGACTTGTTGTAACATTCACCTTGGCATGTTGATCACTACTGATTGGTATTAGCATTCACCTCGGCATGTTGATCACTACTGACTGGTTTTAACATTCACCTTGGCATG